TGGAGCTCCCTATGGATCCACGAAACGTGTGAGGGGTGTGCCGAAACGGGGGGTGGAACCGCATGCGAGCGCAGCCACTGGGGCGTTCGGTGGAACTCCCCCTGTGGGGCCACGAAACGTGTGAGGGGTGTGCCGAACTGGGTGCGGTGGGCGCATGCGAACGCAGCCACGGGGGCCTTGGGTGAGGCTCCCTATGGGGCCACGAAACGTGTGAGGGGTGTGCCGAAATGTGTGCGGCGGGCGCATGTGAACGCAGCCACTGGGGCCTTCGGTGGAGCTCCCTGTGGGGCCACGAAACGTGTGAGGGGTGTGCCGAACTGGGTGCGGTGGGCGCATGCGAACGCAGCCACTGGGGCCTTCGGTGGAGGGGGCCACGAAACGTGTGAGGGGTGTGCCCTATATGAAAGCGTGTGAGGGGTGTTCGCCGAAATCCGGTGCGAACGCAGCCACGGGGGCCTGGGAGGCGCCACGAAACGTGTGAACGCGCATGCGCAGCCACTGGGGCCTTCGGTGGAGCTCCCTGTGGGGCCACGAAACGTGTGAGGGGTGCGCCGAAATGGGTGCGGTGGGCGCATGCGAACGCAGCCACAGGGGCCTTCGGTGGAGCTCCCTATGGGGCCACGAAACGTGTGAGGGGTGTGCCGAACTGGGCGCGGTGGGCGCATGTGAACGCAGCCACTGGGGCCTTCGGTGGAGCTCCCTGTGGGGCCACGAAACGTGTGAGGGGTGCGCCGAAATGGGTGCGGTGGGCGCATGCGAACGCAGCCACGGGGCCTTCGGTGAGGCTCCCCTATGGGGCCACGAAACGTGTGAGGGGTGTGCCGAAATGGGTGCGGTGGGCGCATGTGAACGGCCGCCACTGGGGGCCTTCGGTGGAGCTCCCTGTGGGGCCACGAAACGTGTGAGGGGTGCGCCGAAATGGGCGCGGTGGGCGCATGCGAACGCAGCCACAGGGGCCTTCGGTGGAGCTCCCTATGGGGCCACGAAACGTGCGAGGGGTGTGCCGAATTGGGTGATGACGATGACGATGATGATGGTGGTGATGATGACGTCGATGATGTCGATGATGATCATGGTGATGACGATGACGATGATGATGATGATAATGATGATAATGATGATAATGATGATGATGATGATGATGATGATGATGATGATGATGGGAGGGAGGAGGAGGAAGGAGGAAGGAACGCGGGGCGACGTTTCTTCAAAACGAGGACCCAACACCACAGGATGGTTGGGAAAAAATCCGCCGACCCTGTCGGCGTGTGTGAGCGGTTTCTCCGTTCGACTCGTCGTTTCCGTCGTCTCCGTTCTCCCCCTCCCAGGGCTCTCCTCCTCAAGCGCGCTGTCCAAAGCGAAAGTAAACGACGTCGTAGTGGAGTCGTAGGGAAGCCCCTTCCCCTTGATCCCTTCCCCGCAGAGGGGGGGGGGGAGAGAGGGGGGGCGGGGCAGATACGACGCCCGCCGGGGCGCACTTTCCTCGAGCGGGCACGCACGGGATGCACTTCCTCCTCCTCCTGGTCCTCCTCCTCCTCCTTTTCCTCCTCCTCCTCCTCCTCCTGCTCCTCTCCTTCTCCTCCTCCTCCTCCTCCTCCTCCTCCTCCTCCTCCTCCTCCCGCAGAGGCGTCCCGGGAGCGGGCCCCGAGTCAAAATACCACCCCCCTAGGGCGCATTTTCCTCGAGCGGGCACGCCCGAGATGCACTTCTTCCTCTTCCGGGAGCACGTCCCAAGTCAGAATATCACACTCCCGGGGCGCACTTTCTTCGAGCGGGCACACAAAGGATGCACTTCCTCCTCCTCCTCCTCTTCCTCCTCCTCCTCCTCCTCCTCCTCCTCCTCCTCCTCCTCCTCATCCTCCGTTTCCTCCTCCCACTCCTAGCCCTTTCGATCAGGGTCGGCGGCACCGGACGTCAGGCCTCTCCAATACAAGGGATTCACGGATTCGAGGCGGTCCCTTTCCAAAATGTGGCTCTCGCCTTATCGCCGCGCACATTCGTTTTTTAATGCCAGGCGTTCGCGGATCACAGGATCAACGTACCAGAAATGGTGTTTGGAAGGGTTCAGGATTATGCGCGCGCCACAGTTAGTTTGATTCGCTGTGCTGAAGTCCCAAAAATGGCGTTCTGGCAAGATTCTGGATCGTCAAGGCACAGCAGCCAGGTGTGGCGATGAAATCCCGAGAACAATGTTTTGGCACGCTTCAGGATCTTCAAACTGTTACCTTCCAACGAGGCAGTTCCCTCAATGAAAATGAACCGTTGTATGGGGCCTATGAAGAGGGAGCTTCGAGGGAGGGTGAATTCCAACATCGTTGATTACTTGAGGGTTTCCACTGGTCCTCCTACCTCCTCCTCGTCCTCATCCTACTCCTCCTTCTTCTCCTCCTCTTCCTCCTCCTCGTCACCACCATCACCACCACACCCCCATCATCATCATCATCATCATCATCATCATCATCATCATCATCATCATCATCATCATCACCATCATCATCATCATCATCATCATCATCATCACCACCACCACCACCATCACCACCATCATCATCATCTGCATCATCATCATCATCATCATCATCATCATCATCATCAGCATCATCATCATCATCATCATCATCATCATCATCATCATCACCACCACCACCACCACCACCACCACCACCATCATCATCATCATCATCATCATCATCATCATCAGCATCATCATCATCATCATCATCATCATCATCATCATCATCCTCATCCTCATCCTCATCCTCATCCTCATCCTCATCCTCATCCTCATCCTCCTCGTCATCCTCATCATCATCACCATCATCATCATCATCAGCAGCAGCAGAATCAGTATCATCATCATCACCATCATCATCTGCATCATCACCATCATCACAATCATCATCATCATCATCATCATCGTCATCATCATCAGCATCATCAGCATAGTCATCATCATCACGATCAGCAGCATCATCATCCTCACAACATCATCATCAGCATCAGCATCAGTATCATCATCAGCATCAGCATCATCATCATCAGCATCGTCATCATCATCAGCATCAGCATGATCGTCACCATCAGCATCATCATCATCACCACCACAACCATCAGCATGATTATCATCATCGTCATCGTCGTCGTCATCATCATCAGCATCATCATCGTAATCGTCATCGTCATCGTCATCACCAGCACAAATCATCCACCATCCATTATCCACCATCCATCGCCCATCATCCATCATCCATCCTGAGGGTCATCAGCATCAGCATCAGCATCAGCATTATCTTTACTATCCTCATCATCATCATCAGCATCAACATGATCATGATTACCATTATCATCGTCATTATCATCGTCACCATCATCATCATCATCATCATCATCATCAGCATAGCCATCATGACCATCAGCATCAGCTTCACCACCACCACCAACATCATCGTTATCAGCAGCATCAGCAGCATCATCATCATGATCATCGTGAAAATCAGCATCATCATCATCAGCAGCATAGCATCATCATCATCATCATCAGCATCATCATCACCAGCATCACCAGCATCATCATCATCATGTTCAGTATCAATATCTACATAACCAACAATAGCAGCAACTATACATAAGCAGCAGCAACAGCAACAGCAACAACAACTACAACAACAACAGCAACAACTAGAAAAACGCCAACACCAACAACAGCACCATTCGCAACAACAACAGCAACAACAACAACAGCAGCAACAACTGCAACCACAACAACAACCGTCATCATCATCACCACCACCATTCTCATCACCACCACCACCACCACCACCATCATCATCATCATCCTCATCTTCATCATCATCATCATCATCATCATCATCATCATCATCATCAGTAGCAGCATCATCATCATAACCACCATCAACATCATCATCACCACCAGCACAACCATCATCATCAGCATCATCACCATCATTACCACATCATCACCCGCATCCGCATCATCCTCCTAATCCTCATCCTCATCCTCGCTCCTCCTGGCCACCTGACCGAAAAACGGCCTCTGCCCACTCACGCCGACCCCTTGCCAGGCCAGGACCGGCGTGCGCGCATGACTGGCGTCCCCGCGAAAAGGTGCTCGAAACTGGAAAGGGGAACGCCGTGAGTATCCTTTTTGATGAGCAAAGAAAATGGGAGAAGAAACTGAAAAGATCGAATACGGACGAGGCGGGAGTGCTCATGTTTTCTGACAACGTTCGTCTCCAATGGACAACGTCCGCGGCGACGCCGACGACGAGTCCAGCTCAAAGTGGACAGGAACTGCTGCTGGTCATTGTCCCCATCCGTTCCGTCCACATCTCGGACCTCCTGTGCGACGCCAGTATCTCTGCATATCCACCAACTGGGGAGCCCATCCCCCAGGACCCTAGATATGTATGCAGAGTGAGGGGGAGATATCCTCCTCCTCCTCCTCCTCCTCCTCCTCCTCCTCCTCCTCCTCCTCCTCCTCCTCCTCCTCCCCTCCTCCTCCTCCTCTTCCTCCTCCTCCTCCTCCTCCTCCTCCTCCTCCTTCCTCCTCCTCCCTCCTCCTCCTCCCTCCTCCTCCTCCTCCTCCTCCTCCTCCTCCTCCGGCCTCCTCCTCCTCCTCCTCCTCCTCCTCCTCCTCCTCCTCCTTCTCCTCCTCCGAGAGGAGGCCACTCGTTTTCCAGGTCATGACTCGGCTGTTAGTGACGATCCAGACATCCCAGGCACACTCTCCCGAGGCAGGGAAAACCCCAAGAACGGACAAAAACGTCCGAGAACGTCCCGGACCTCTCCCGGGGTGCGTTCTGACGAGAATTTCTGAGCGAGTCCAGCCGTGGCGACTCGAGCGCTTTCCCGGAGGCCCAGGAAAGGCGGAAACGAGGGAAGCGCAGCTGCATCGGCGCCTGTTCCTCCCCTCGGGGCGAGAAAGCCGCGATCGAGGGCGAGCGCGCGCGGTGCGCCCCCCGGGGGCGACCGCCCTGTGCCGCGGCCGCGTGGCCTGCGCCTCCGCGTCCGCCAGCAGGCGCTCCGCCCTCTCCGCCTGCCTGCGCACCGCCTCCAGCCTCCTCGTGCGGCTCTGCCGAAGGGCAAAAAGCTTCTGGCCACAAGGGCGCGAGGTCAATAGACGAGCGCGTTCCGCTACTCGCAAAGTAACTACTCGCAAATTGCCTGGATCCGCCGCGGGGGATCTACGATGAATCTCATCGGAGCGAACATATGTTTTTCGGGCGTTTGCGAGTAGGCACTTTGCGAGTAGTGGAACGCGCTTGGTGAGCCAAAACCAAGACACTGAGATTCTGGCGTTGCATTTGTTGTCACGCTTGGCGTCTTCGCCCGGTGGCGGGCCCCAGGGCCTTGACAGCTCGATCCGGCCCGCCACTTCCAGAAGAAAGATGGGGGGTTCCAGGGCTCCGATTGTGGATTCTCGCGATGCAACAATCGGGGTCCACCAAAAGGGGGGGGGACCCTGAGGGGGGGGGTGAGTTCGATCCGCTGGTGCATCGAATTTCCGAAAAAACGATGTCCCCCTCTCGGGTTCCGGCGGCGGCTGGAGACTTCGTTTTGCATCATTTTTCAGCGGTTCGATACGCCAACGGACCGAACTCACGCCCACCCTGTGGCACCCCCCCTCTTTGCGAGGTCCCGAAACAATTGATTCGTAACGCCGAACCGCAGGGAGGCCCCTCGGCCGAACGCCCGAGGACCCATCATGGTGCCCAAAGCGGAGAGCACTCCACGGTGGAGATACCCAAGCACGGATAGACAAGCGCGTTCCACTACTCGCACAGCAACTACTCGCAAATGGCCCAGATCCGCCGCGGGAGATTTACGATCCACTGTGTAGAGGAAGACATGTGTTCTTCGAACGGTTGCGAGCAGGCGCTCTGCGAACAGTGGAACAGACGGCACCCCACTTCGAGCAGCGCGCCCCGCGAGGCGCGACGCGCGGCTTACCTTCGCGCCCTGTCGCGCCACTTCCGTGGGATGAGGGCGACCGCGCTGGCCCAGTTCCGCGCCGCGCGAAGCGCGCGGATCTCTCTCTCCTCTCTCTTTCTCTGTCTCTCTCTCTCTCTCTCTCTCTCTCTCTCTCTCTACGGGCCCTCGCGGGGTGCCTGGGCCACGAGGGGCTGGAGCGTGGGGCTGCTCTTGCGCCTCGTGCCGGCGGCATCTGCCGAGATACGGCGCCGAGGCATCAAGAAGCATGATGGGCCAATTTACCACCACCACTACCATAGGTAGGACGGGGGAGAAGGGAGGATGGGGAGGTCCTCCTCCCCCCCCCTCCTCCTCCTCCTCCTCCTCCTCCTCCTCCTCCTCCTCCTCCTCCTCCTTCTACTATATATGGTAGTGGTGGTGGAAAATCGGCCCATCAAAACATGCGGAAAGTACGCTACGCAGCCTGAACAGCCGCTGCTGTTGGACCAGGCACTACAGGGGAATGCTGCAGGGCAAACCTGGGACACCATAAGCGCCAACCACCTGCCAAATCCCTGGAGGAACGCGGGAGGGGGGGAGGAATAGGAGGAGGAAGAGCTGCTGGAGGAGCCAGAGGAGCCAGAGGAGGAAGGAGAAAAGGAGGGGAGGGAGGGAGGGAGAAAAGGAGGAAGGGAGGGACGTAGGGATCATCGTTGCGCCCCCCGTGGCACTCCTCCCTACCAGTGGGTGTCAGTCAGAGCCTCGAGTCGTGCCACAGCCGGGCCTCTGCAGAGGGCACAGGATCCCAGCACATTTTCGGGAAGCGTCCAACCAAGGAGGAGAAGAGGAGAGGGAGGAGGCAAGTGCAAACCCAAGACTCATCAACGATGCTGCAATAAACCCTCCATCCATGTTCCCTCTTCAAAGGCTTATGCAAACATTTATCCACTGCGGGAAGAGCCCTGTTGGAAGACAAGTGTCTGAAAATCATGAACCGTGCCAAAGCACTAGTCCTGGAAATTCAACGCCGCGAACCAACGTTACTGTTGCGACCAGGCGATCCTAAATCGTTCCAAAACAAAGTTTCTGGGGCGCCAACACCGCAAATCAACGCGACTGTCGCGCCCCGACAATCCTAAATCGCGCCAGTACACCGTCTCTGGAACGTCGGCCATAAAAATCCTTCAAATTGCTGTTACCTGTTAAGACGAATGTGCGCGGCACTCAGGCGAGAGCCACATTTTGAAAAGGAACCGCCATCCAGATGTGAAACTCTTGCAAACGTTAAAGCGAATGTGCACGGCGCTCAGGCGAGATACACATGTGGACAACTACCCGCCATCCGTCCGTGAAATTCTTGCTAACTTTTAAGACGAATGTGAGCAACGCTCAGGCGAAAGCCCCATGTTGGTAACCACCCGCCGTCAATCCGTGAAACTCTAGAACGAATATGCGCAGCACTACGGCGGCAGCTACATTTTATGAAAACAACCCGCCCTCCATCCGCGAAACTGTTGCAAATTTCAGACTTCCTCATCATATGCCCTAAACCCTATAGCCCTATAGCCCTATAGCCCAATAGCCCTATAGCCCTACGATTCGATAGACCTATAACTCTATAGCCCTATAGCTCAATATCCCTATAGCCCTGTAGCCCCCCTAGCCCTAATTATAGCCCTGATTAGGGCTTTTCTCCGGTATCACTATTAATGAGGAAGAGGGATGGAGGAGGAGGAGGAGGAGGAGGAGGACGAGGAGGAGGAGGAGGAGGGGCAAGCGGCGATCCCCAAACGCCTCCCCTGTGGCTGCACTGGAGGCGAAGCCCTGCGGCCAGCCCCTGCCCTCCCGACGCTACATCGGCGCTATCTCATCGACTCCCAGACGCTCATGGACGCTCATCGACGCTAAAGACGGAATCAAGAGGGTACGGAAGAAGGATCGGACGTCTGCTCCGAAACCAAAAAACGGCAAGGCCCCATGGACGGGAAAGGTGACCCTGGGGCAACCAGCAGCAGTAACTAACGGATCCCCAGTCCAGCCCAAAGGGCAAACCCAAGGGCCAGAAGGGCGACACCCAGGGGAGGGGCAAGGAGACGGGCCATCCAGAACTGAAAGGAGGAGGGAGAGGCGCTCAGCGTGGCGCCGCTCCCAAAGGCAAAGGACGCAATGCGAGCAGCGGAACATGAATGTGGAGTTCATAAAACTCGTGGACGGCATGCCTACTGATGATTTGTTGTGGCTTCTGAATCGGGGGTTCTCAGTTGCAGCACGTGCGCGTGCACAATTATCAGGACCATAGTTGCCGCCACCCAAAGCCAGGTGAATCTCCATGGCCAGTAATATTCTTGATTTCTCGCTTCCATCACAAACATCGTTTCACACAGAAGACTCTGCCAAAGCTTTCAGAGATCAACAACATCATACAGCAAGTACGGCACAAACTATTTTGGAATTGGAACTTCAGGAATGAGCCGAATCTGTATCAGTTTCGCGTTGCATCGACATGCCGAGCCACCAAGCCGTTTTCTGAGTCTGCCCATGTAGAGTTTGACGCCATGCTGCGTGCTATGTGTAGCCATGTTCTCCGAGGGTGCAGGCACAAACTCCACCAGCAATACGGCCGCACAAAGAGTTCAAACACGTATGGTGTCATATCGCTGGCCTTCAAACAACTCGCTGTATTAGATTGGGTCCCTGTGCTCACGGACAAGGACGGGGACTCGGCGCTCGTCCGACAGGGCGTGTTGGAGCAGATCCATTCTTCAGCACTCGCGGGCCCGCAGTATGAGGAGACTTCTCCTTTGAACATCCGCTGGTGGCAGCTTTGTGTTCATTACTCTAGCTTGGTCAAGAGAATTCGCGAGCTCGAGCCGGACACAGACGCGCGCTCCATGCTGCAGAGCTTGACGGGTGGAGTCCCCAGGCTTGTGACGGCAGTAGGGGAGACGATCAAAACCCACAAAGATCCAGATGACATATCTTTCCGAATTCTGCACACCAGGAGGGACCATTCGTTTAAGGGCCTTGAGGCTTGGGTGGCTCGCCAGCTTCGTGACTCACTTGCAGTCAGACCACACATTCTTTCAAGCACCGAAGATCTCATATATTGAATAACATGTCTTTCCCCAGTGACGCACTGTTCATACGATACGACGTCCGAGATTTCTTCATGTCTGGAGGTATCAACGAACTCGTGAGAGGTGCTGTCGCTGTTGCGCCCCAGGCTCTCGGGGAGATCATGGGCGATGCGGCAGAGTTCCTTCTGAGCAGCCAGTATGTCCAGTCCAGATTCTACGACGACACAATTTGGCAGGTGAGAGTTGGTTCTGGGATGGGGATGAGCTTCTCTGGGGATGTGTCGGACGCGGGGTTCTACCACAGCTTGGAGCATTCTAGAGTGAATGATCGGATCTGGATGTCCAGCACAGGGATCTTGTTGTACGTAAGGTTCAGGGATGACATCCTGATCATCACTGAGAGGAGCCTCGCGCCTTTCTGGCATGTGCATGATGGGCTTGTGACAAGCAGTCGTAGCAGCTTCAAATGTAAGCTAGAGAAAACCGCCATGCATGGAGTAGACATGTTAGACATACAGATTTTCAAGGGTCCTGATTTTGCCTCCACTGGAAAACTAGCATACAAACCAATATGGAAAAAGACCAGCTTGGGCATTCCATTGTCTATTTTTTCGGAGCACCCCCGAGGCATCCACGCTTCCTGGCCGTTTGCTGAGCTGGGGCGTCTCCACCGTCATTCTTCCACCCTCCAGCTAAGCTTGGAGGCCAGAGGAGTGCTAATCGAGCGTCTCAGCCAGTATGGATTTCCGAAGTCCTTCATCCAACCTCTGCATGCCAGGTCCCCTAAACGTGCTAGATCCACCGCCTGTCCTGCCCCCACAACCAAAATGTGGGTGCGAGTCCCATACCACAGAGTTCGGGCGTCGGCCGGTCTAGCGAAGTTGTTTAATGAGATTACATCCCTGGACATCCCTAGGAGCATTTGTGTGCAGTATCTAGTTTCTCCTCTAGATATAAGGCCTGTGTGGGTTCTGCGGCAGGCACCTTTTGCTCAGTTGGTCCAGAGATTCTCACACAGTCACGTGACATTGTACTAATTTGGAGGTTGGTCGGGTGTGGACGGTGGTCCTTGCTTACTTGCACTTTTCACGACATGCCTGTAGCAGCATTTGGCTCGGGGTTCTCACCGCGCCCCAGGCCCGCGCGCAGCCACAGCGGTCTGCGTGCCCATTCGAGTAGTTCTCAGGTGGCGAGCCGGAAAACGTGTTAACAAATCGTGCGTTTTAACGTCGCTGTCATCTCATCGCAGGGGAGGAGGAGGACGAGGAGGAGGAGGAGGAGGAGGAGAGGAAGCAAACCGAGAAACATTGTGCACTGACAAGCTATACACCCCATGCGGGACATAAGCTTCGGTTGCAACTCATGGGAGCCTCCCATACCATCTTGTCGGCTCTTGCGAGTCGACGCTAATCGACGCTTGTCGACGCTAATCGACGCTAAATCGACGCGAGTCGACGCTGGCCGACGCTACATCGGCGCTATCTCATCGACTCCCAAACGCTCATGGACGCTCATCGACGCTAAAGACGGAATCAAGGGGTACACCTGGCTCCCATGATTTGCTACCGAACCCGATCGACTCTCGCCCAAGAGCGTCGCATTCAGCACGAGGGCCTGCCCGAGCTGAATGCCGCATGCCTCCCGTGGACGTCTCCCCACCCCTGGCCATGCGTGCCACCCGATGTCGCTGCTTCCACGGAGCCGACCCGACGCCCCACCAGACACACACGACCACCAGGCCTGGGCCCTCAGCCCGAGCTGGCGGTCCACAGTTGCCGAGCTCCGAGCATAGTCGAAACGTGGCCGCAGGACAGCGGCTCCAGAACACGAGCCCCTTCGCCAGAGGCCCGAAGCCCCACTGTTGTTATGCCCCGAATCGAAGAACGATCCAAGGGAGAGAATAGAGAGCCCAGACGCGAAGAACATCAGGGCACCCCTCGAGAGCCAGGCTCGATCTCCGCCCTCGCGCCCACCGTCGTCCACAGTGAGGACCTGGCCCCGCCCCGCACTTGACCCGTCGCAGGTCCTCAACTCCTCGTCCACGCCAGCCCCATCGGCGACTGGGAGAAGCCGCAAGCCGGCTTCCCGCTCAGCCCACTGAGACGGGGGCCAATCCGCGGGCGCCTGCTGCAGTGAGAGGCGGGGAAGGACGAGAGATGCAGGAGGCAGGACGGAGGAGCAAGAGGAAAAGGAGGAGGAGGAGGAGGAGGAGGAGGAGGGAGGCGGGAGGAGGGAGGAAGAGGGGACAGGGGCAGGACTGGGGAGGGAGGAGGAGGAGGCGAGAAGGAAAAACAGCAAGAACAAGAATTAGCCTGGCGAAGGACCCAATCAATACCGCAGTTGCAGGGATCGTCTTCGGTGGAGCTCCATTGAAAGGACACGAAGCGTTGTACCGGGCGGGGGAGACGCATGCGGGCTGCGCCACCGGGACCTTCGGTGGAGCCCCCTAGGGTCCACGAAACTCTGTACTCGGTGGGGGAAACGCATGCAAACTGCGCCCCTGGGAACTTCGGTTAAGCTCCCTCTGGGGTCACGAAGCGTTGTACTGGGTGGGGGAATCGTATGCGGGCTGCGCCATTGAGACCTTCGGTGGAGCTCCCTCTGGGGCCACGAATCGCTGCACTGGGTGGGAACCGCATGCGAACTGCGCCACTGGGACCATCGGTGGAGCTCCCTGTGGGGCCACGAAACGCTGTATTGGGTGGGGAAACCGCATGCGGACTGCGCCACGGAACCTTCGGTGGAGCTCCCTCTGGGGCCACGAAACGCTCACTGGGTGGGGAACCGCATGCGGGCTGCGCCACTGGGACCCTCGGCTAAGCTCCCTATGAGGCCACGAAACGCTGTACTTTGTGGGGAACCGCATGCGGACTGCGCCACTGGAACCTGCGGTGGAGCTCCCTCTGGGGCCACGAAACGCTGCACTGTGCGGGGAAACCGCATGCGGACTGCGCCACTGGGACCGTCGGTGGAGCTCCCTATGGGGCTACGAAACGCTGTACTGGGTTGGGGAAGCCGCATGCGGACTGCTCCACTGGGACCTTCGGTGGAGCTCCCTCTGGGGCCACGAAACGCTGTACTGGGTGGGCGAACCGCATGCGGACTGCGCCACCACGAGGAGTTGTACTGGGTGGGGGAACCGCATGCGGATTGCGCCACTGGGACTTTCGGTGGGGCTCCCTACGGGGCCACGAAACGCTGTACTGGGGGGGGAACCGCATGCGGACTGCGCCACTGGGACCGTCGGTGGAGCTCCCTATGGGGCTACGAAACGCTGTACTGGGTTGGGGAAGCCGCATGCGGACTGCTCCACTGGGACCTTCGGTGGAGCCCCTCACGCCCTCTGGGGCCCACGAAACGCTGTACTGGGTGGGCGAACCGCATGCGGACTGCGCCACCACGAGGAGTTGTACTGGGTGGGGGAACCGCATGCGGATTGCGCCACTGGGACTTTCGGTGGGGCTCCCTACGGGGCCACGAAACGCTGTACTGGGGGGGGAACCGCATGCGGACTGCGCCACTGGAATCTTCGGTGGGGCTCCCTCTAGGGCCACGAAACGCTGCACTGGGTGCGGGAACCGCATGCGGACTGCGCCACTGGGACCTTCGGTGGAGCTCCCTATGGGGCCACGAATCGTTGCATTCGGTTTGGGAACCGCATGCAAACTGCGCCACTGGAACCTTCGGTGGAGTTCCCTATGGGGCCACGAAACGCTGTACTGGGCGGGGGAATCACGTGCAGACTACGCCACTGGGACCTTCGGTGGAGCTCCCTATGGGGCCAAGACACCTTTGGTTGGGAAAACCGCGTGCGGACTGCGCCACTGGGACTTTCGGTGGAGCTCCCTCTGGAGCCACGAAACGTTGTACTGGGCGGGGGAACCTCATGCGGATTGCGCCACTGGGACCTGCGGTGGAGCTCCCTCTGGGGCCACGAAACACTGTAATGGGTGGGTGAACCGCATGCGAATTTCGCCACTGAGACTTTCGGTGGAGCTCCCTCTGGGGCCACGAAACGCTGTATTGGGTGGGGGGAACCGCATGCAGATTGCGCCACTGCGACCTTCGGTGAAAAAAAGTGATAAAGAGAAGACAATTTAAAAAAATAAAACAAAAAAGAAGGGAAAAAAAAAAAAAAGCAAAAAAGAAAAAGAATGAAAGATAAGGCGGCTCCCTATCCATCCCTAACGAAACAAAAAAAAATAGAATAAAAAAAAAGAAAAAAAAATGAAAGTGCAAAAAAAAAGAAAAGAAAAAAAAAAAAAAAAAAAGAAAAAAAAAAAAACAAGCAAAAAAATAAAAAAAAAACAAAAAAAAAAAAAACAAAAAAAAAAAAAAACGAAAAAACAAAAACAAAAAAAAAACAAAAACAGAAAAAAAACAAAAAAAAGAAAAAAAAAAGAAAAGAATGAGAAAAAAAAAAAAAATGCCGTTTGTACTGGGTAGGTGGGGGAACCGCATGCGGAGTGCGCCGCTGGGACCTTCGGTGAAGCCCCCTATGGGGCCACGAATCGCTGTACTGGGCGGGGGAACCTTATGTGGTACACCCCCCTGGGACCTTCTGTGGAGATCCCTGTGGGGCCACGAAACGCTGTACTGGGTGGGGGAACAGCACGCGGACTGCGCCACTGGAACCTTCGGTGGAGCTCCATCTGGGGCCACGAAGCGCTGTACTGGATGGGGGAACCGCATGCGGACTGCGCCTCTGGAACCTTCGGTGGAGCTCCATATGGGGCCACAAAACGCGGTCCTGGGTGGGGGAACCGCATGCGAACAACGGAGGAGGGAGGAGGGACGAGGGAGGAGGGAGGAGGGAGGAGCGGGAGGAGGAGTGAGAACGCGGGGCGCTGTCTCTTCAAACCGAGGCCCCAACACCACAAGATGGTTGGGAACAAAACAAGACCACGAACAATTCGACGGCCCAACGGGCCAGAGGCGTGCCCAGATCTCCGGTAACTGGTTCACAATTCTTCCAGTTCGGGCGCGCGGGGCGGCCCCTGGGGGTCCCCCGGCGAAAAGTACCCCGACCGCAGCCCGGGAAGGTCCCAGGAAGGTCTACTCAGAAATGGTTTTCCACCTGGGTACGGCCTCTCAGGCCCCCCAGAGCGCGCCAAGTGGGCCCCAAGAGGCCCCCAAGACTGCCCAAGAGGCCCCCGAGACGCCCAAAGGACGCTCCAAGACGCCGAAGATGATCCCAAGACGGCCCAAGAAGCCGCCAAGACGCTCCAAGTGGCCTCCAAGAGGCCTCACAAGCACCCCGAGAGGCCAAAATGTTGGCCTTGTCGCATTTTCGGCTTTCCGATGCTCCAAGACGGCCCAAAAGGCCCCCAAGAGCGCACGAAGACGGCTCAAGAGGCCCCCAAGAAGGCCCCCAGAGGGGCCCCGAGACGGCCCAAGAGACGCCCAAGACGGCCCAAGAGAGCCCGAAGACGGCCCCAAGAGGGGCCCAAGATGGGGACCACGAACCGAAACCTCAAGCCTTCCGCCCCAAGAGGGCCCCAGGAGGCCCCGAGAGGCCCCCAAGATGGCCCAAGATGCCGCCAAGAGGCCCCCAAGAGACCCCAGGAGGCTCCAAGGAGGCTCAAAAGAGGCCCTAGAAGACTTCAAAAATGTTTCCCAGGCGCCCCCCAACGGCCTCTCAACAGATCCCAGGGCCGCTTGAAGAAGCATCTGGACGACGGCCCTGTTTGGCCGCAAGAGCGCCGCAAGATGCCATCGAGAGGTTTCCTCCTCCGCCCTTTTCTCTTCCTCCTCCTCCTCATACTTATCTTCATCCTCCTCCGTTCCTTCTCATCCTCTTCTCCTCCTCCCCTCCCCCTCCCCATCCTCATCATCCTTCTGGCGGCGCCGAAATGGCCCCGAGCCCACGCCGAAGCAGTAGCGATCATGCAATACGGGCCAGCGGAGTGAGCGCAGCGGTTGAATAAACCGAGGAAAGGTGACCCGCCAACCACCACCTCCGAAAAATGGCAGCCGGCGCATTGAAAACACAACACCCCGACAAACGACAGCGGCGAGGCAATATGGACCGGCGGAATGAGCGAAGCGATTACATAACAACAACAACAACAACAACAACAACAACAACAACAACAACAACAACAACAACAACAACAACAACAACAACAACAACAACAACAACAACAACAATTACTAGCACGTGGGGACACTCCGTTCTCACCAGTGCGAGGGTTTTCATAGGAGGCGGGCAATCCCCCACTTTGTGGGGGGCCGTTCAAGCTCTACCAAAGTTTTTCCAAACGACTCTTCGCCACCACCCCACCCAGCTTCCGCCCTATTACGTTCGGACACTTCACTTCGTGGCAATGCGGACAGACCGTGGCTTTACTATTCAGGGCCACGCGGCCGGACGACGACGGCGTGCGCCCGCGAAGAAAAAACGAATGTGCCCGCATGTAATTATTTGACAGTGATGAATGCCCTGGCAGGGTGCGCAACCGTTTGTTCGCAGAAGGTTCGAAAAAGTTGCGGCGCTAAAGCCCGTTTTGAACAGAAATTATTAAAAGTGTTGGGTTTCCTACGAATCCGCAAGAGCGCGCGGGATGAATTTTGACAATTTTTTGTTGAAAAACCATTGGTTTTTTGATGTTTATGTTAAAATCGCTGCGAACACTAAGGTTTTCGAAGGATTTCGTCTTGCGCGCGCGAATGTCCACTTTACCTTATTTTTTGCAAGGGATTCTTGAAATTTGATTATATTAGAACAAGAAATGTCATTTTCTATTGTTTTTTGCAAGGGAAAGCGGACTACAACAAAACAACCGGATCCTGTACACACCCTCTTTTCTGAGGCCTCCTCACGAAAATGATGAAAATGTAGCTGCGGCCTAGGCGGCGCAGGGGGGGCGCGCACCAGGGGGCCCAACAATAATTATTCTTTAGAATAATGTTCAACAACAACATCAACAACAACAACAACAGCAACAACAACAACAACAGCAACAGCAACAGCAACAGCAACAGCAACAGCAACAACAACAACGACAACGACAACAACAACGACAACAACAACAACAACAGCAGCAGCAGCAGCAGCAACAACAACAACAACAACAACAACAACAACAGCAGCAGCAGCAGCAGCAGCAGCAACAACAACAACAATCATTATAAGACGGTTCGCTCTTACATGGTCGCGTGTCATTCAAAACGAGATCCCCACACCCTCGATACCCGCCCTTGTTGTCTTCGGTCACACCCCCTTTGCGGAGATTATTTCTCTTTGCGGGGGGCGGCGGGCTTAGACAGGCGGGCAAACCTGAACGGACGTACAATCCTTCGTGGGCGTACATGTGAAGGCCATTGGAATTGGTGTGGGCCCTGCAAAAAGAGAGGGGAAGAACGAGGGAGAATGGGAGGAAGGGAACGGGAGGGACGAAGGAAGAGGGAAAACGCCAGGAGAACAGGAGCGAAGAGGGGGGCGGTTGATTAGAGGCAGAGAGAGAGAGAGAGAGAAAAAGACAGATAAGAGAGGTAGAGAAAGAGAGAGAGAGAGAAGGGAGAGAGAGAGAGAGAGAGAGAAAAAAAAAAAAGGAAGGGAGGAGGCAGGAGAGGGGAGGGAGAAGGAAGGAGGGAGAGGAGGGTGAGGGGATAGGGCAGAGAAGCATAAGGATAAGGGAAGAGAGGAGGGAGAGAGAAGGGAGGAGAGGAGGGAGGAGGGAGGAGGGAGAGGGAGGAGGAGCAGGAAGGTAAAAGCGTGAACGTTCGAGGAAGTCCTAGGCGAAAGCGCTGTTCATGAAGGAAGTCTCGGGCGGGAGCCCACGACGGGCGGGCGATCCCGTGACGGGCGGGTCGGGCACGAGGGACATTCAAGCGGGATGATTGAGTATGGCGAGAGCGCGATTACTAAGTAAATTGTAACGGCGTCCTTGGCGCAGCGTGTTTCCTGAGCGTCGAAAGCGCGATTTCTGCATAAATTGCATGGAAGTCACAGGCGAGAGCGCAATTCCTGAAGAAAATGTGAAGGGCTCTCTGGCGGGAGCTGGGGTCTTGATTAGATTGCGAGGAAGTCTTGACTCAATTGCGAGGAAGTCTCAAGCGGGAGCACCGTTTCTGAGTAAACTGTGAGAAATTCTCAGATGGGAGCGGGGGTCCTGACTAAATTGCGAGGAAGTCCCATGCGGGAGCACCGATCCTGAGTAAATTGTGAGGAAGTCTCAGGAGCGGGGGTCCTGAGTAAACTTGGAGGATATCTCAGGCGGGAGCCGTTGTTGTTGTAATCCGGGGGGCCAGGGGCCCAGTTTGAGCACCAAGACTTTCCCTGTCAAAAATCAGGGTGCGAGCGTCGAGGGGCACACTTTGATGGGAAGCACAAAGACATACTAGTACTATATGTCCTCCTTGGAGGCGCGCGTCCGACCCGAACATGTAGTATACCCATCTTGTAGTATATCGTTTCCCGAGCGGTGTGGCCAGAAAGCGCCCGCCACGACGCATATACTATAAGATTTCTCGGTGCGCGCGTCGCCCCTGGGGGGGCGACGCACATATAGTATAAGTACGTTGGGGTGTTGCCGATTTGATTGAGAAAAACAATATGCACCGGCGGTGAGTGGGGATCATCAGTAATCATTCTTCAGACATGAGCTCAACAGCAACCAAGACGGCCGAAAAGAACGCCCAGAGCGCCCCATGACAGCCCAAGAGAGGCCGATGACAGCCCAAGAGAGCCCCAAGACAGCCCAATACTGCCACAGGACGGCCTAAGGGGCCCCAAGACAACCCAAGAATGCCCCAAGAATGGCCCAGGGGCCTCAGACCACCCAAAGAGGCGACCAGACCACTGCGCGATTATTCATAAGGGGTCGGCGGATGTGGCGCAAGCCTGAAGAATCATTCTTCAGACATGAGTTCAACAGCAACAACAACCAGAGAAAAAAGCAGGAGGGCCTCGGGGGGCGGGCCCCCGGCGGCGGGCTTCCCAGGCGGCACGCTCGCGGCGGCCTCCCGGCGAGCTGCCGGCATGGCTCGGTGGCAACTCATGGGAGCCTCCCATAGGAAGGCACCAACTATACACCAACACCGATACTGGCCAGGATCACCCTGGGCCCAGGATCGGTGTATACGCCCTCCTGCCTTGCGCAAGAAGGCATATACACCGATCCTGGGCCCAGGGTGATCCTGGGCCAGGATCGGTGTTGGTGTATAGTTGGTGCCCTCCGATCCCATACCATCTTGTCGGCTCGTGCGAATCGACGTGAATCGACGCTAGTCGACGCCAATCAGCGCTAAATCGACGCTTCATCAAAGCTAATCGACGCCAACCGACGCCAAATCGGCGCCATCTCATCGACTCCCAGACGCCAGCCGACGCCAATCGACGCTAAAGACGGAATTGCGATGGCATACCAGGTTCCCATGATTTGCCACCGAAAGAGGGGGTCCGCGCGCCTCTCCGGGTCGGGCAGCCGCTGCACGTTCAGCACCAGCAGCGCGAGCGCCAGCAGCAGCAGAGCGCGGTACACCAGGCACCGCAGCCTCTCGCGGAGCCGCGGGGCCAGAAACGGCCCTCCGGCACGGGGGACTCCCAGATGTTCGCGCACGTGCGTCAGGGGGGGGAGAAGGTCCAAAGGGCCCAGGGACACACACACACACAAGTAGACACAAATCCCAGGATTCCCCATAGATTCCCACATGTTCTGGGTGTTCGTCTCCCCCCCACTTCCCATACTTTCTCATATTTTCCAGGGAGTCGACGATGATTTGTTCCGCGCGTTTTCCTCACATCCTGGAAGGTATACCGATGCCACTGCACGGCCGGATTTTCCTCGAGAGTATGGCCCGAACGCACCCCGGATCCTGAAAAACGCGACCCCAGGAGAGGTCCAGGGATGAGGAGGGGAGAGGAGGGAGGAGGTAGGAGGATGAGGAGGAGGAGGATGAGGAGGAGGAGCATGAGGCAGGATCACGAGTGGGCAGGAGGCAGGGAGCAGAGGAGTAGGAGGGAGCAATGGGAGGGGAGAAGGAAGTGGCAGGAGGAGCAGCAGGAGGAGGAGGAGGAGGGAGGAGGAGGAGAAGGAGGAGGAGACGGAGGGGGGTAGAGGAAGAAGTAAACCCTTCCCTACAGGTGAAGAGGAGGAAGATGATGGGAGGAAGATGAGGGGAGGAGAAGGCCAGAGGAGCCTTTTGGGGCTCCCACGACCTGTGGGCCCCCTGGGGCCCTCTGGGCCTCGCGAGGGGGTGCTCTGGAAGCCACCCGTGCCTCCCCGGGGGAAGCTGGGGCGGGAGAACCAGTCAGCATCGAAACGGGCCATCGGATCGACTTGGAATGTGCGTCGGGTCGGGCTGCATCGGTATGGAGCCGAAATCGAATCGGATCCGCTGCGCCTTGGCTCACAACGGCGCCGTGCGAGCATCGGGCCGCATCGGATCGTCGGAACATCGGAATCGAATCGAAACGGGGCGACCGCGATCAATATCGAATCGGATCGATCGGCTCGAAATGAACCCCGGGCCACACTGGGCCAGGGCCATGATTTCCTGGAGGGGGAGACAACGGGGACCATGACAACGATTGAACGCGAAAACGCCGTGTCGATCCTGGTGACCCTCCATCTTTGTCAGCGACAAATCCGTGCACCATCCTCGCGAATCTGCGACGGCCAGCATGGACCATGTCCAAGATCGGCGTCCACAAGATCCCGCGACATCTTTCGGCGGCGAGCGGGGGGGGGAAATGAGGAGGAGGAGGCCTTCTCGGAAGGCAGCAGGGCTCCTCAGATGCCCTCTGGCCTTCTGAAAAGTGTTCGGTGTCTTCGGGGAAGGCTCAGAGACCTTCCCAGAAGGCCCAAAGCCTTCCGAGAAGGCCCGCCCCTTCTCATTTCCCCCTGGGCTCGCCGCCGAAAGACCCCGCGAGATTTTTAAGGGAACAAACAATGAGATAAACATAAAGACTTTGAGTTCCGCGCAGATTTCTCGGATCGGAGCTGAAGACCCCGCCGGCGCCTGCGGCGCCGCCCCTGGCGCGCTCCGCGCGCCAGGGAAGGGGGGCCCAGCTCCGATCCGAGAAATCCGAGCGGACCTCCGAACTGTTATGTTCATGTCGTCGCTTGTTCCCCCAATTTTGGTCGTGGCCTCCGTGCTTCCTCCCTTGAATTTCCAGCAACACCACGGCAGCCCGCACGGGAGGCAGCACCGCGCAGGGCCCAGCGCGCCGCCCGACGCGACGGGCGCGCCTGCTCGCGCGGGCGCCGGCATGCGGCACCGCGCCCGGCACGGGCGCGGCCAGCCCAGGAGAAGGGGAGGGAGAGGAGGAGGACGGAGGACCGAGGAAGGGGGAGGAGGAGGTGAAGGAAGGAGGAGGCGGAGGAGGAGGAGGAGGAGGAGGAGGAGGAGGAGGAGGAGGAGGAGAAGGAGGGGGGGGCAGGAGGAGGAGGAGGAGGAGGAGGAGGAGGAGGAGGAGGGGGAAGACGGAGGAGGACGGAGGAGGAGGAGGAGGAGGGAAAAAGAGGAGGAGAAGGGGAGCACGAGAACAGAGGAGGAGGAGGAGGAGGAGGAGGAGGAGGAGGAGAACCGAGGAGTACGATTTTAGATAAGATGTGACCCTGGGGCGCCGCTCCGCCCATCACAGCACTGCACTGCAGGCCCTCGCCCACAGACACGCATGGCAACAACAAAGAAAGGCGCCTGGGTCCGCGTGCTTGGCGGACTGGAACAAAAAGCCACCAGTCGACCCCACGACCGCATCGGGTGAAGGGATACGTCCGGTGTCGGACCCGACGGCACGCAGCAAGCGGCTGCCACCGTTGGCACTCACTCCTGAATCACCGCTCGATATGAATCCCTCTACCCCGACGGATTCGTGGTCGGGGGGGGAGCTGAATTGCTGGCCTACCTTTTTGGGCATCAGGGAAATGCACGGGAGCGGGGGCGGGAGTCAGGACGGCTTCGGGGCCAGGAAGCTCAGGGTCGCCGAGTCCAGAAGGCGGAGGCGGGAGGAGGGGTGGAGAAGACGGGGTTCTCCACAAATCTCATGGCCAGCGATTCCCCCTACTAGCTTCCTCACATAGGAGACCAGCCCTCAGGAGCTGCTGAACCCTCTCACCTCTAGCCAAGTTGCTAAATTTTGAAGATACAAGAGCGCTCCCTACTTGCACAAGTCCAGGAGACGCTCGGCGGGGTCGCAGCTGTCTGTCGGCGGCGACGTAACAGGGACAAGTCAATCTTACAGAACACGTTTCACAGTTCCTTGCCCCACCATAATGCGAGACAAAATCCCTGGAGACGTCCGAGCATGTCTCATTCGTCCAATATCTCCTCGAGAGCCTGCACATCCGCGAAGAGCTGCTCCGCGCACGGGTTGGCGCGCGCAGTCAGGCGCCCCACGTGATCTTACAGGCGGCCATCAACAGCAGGTAAGTCTGCGAACAGCGCTGCTAAAATCTGCGGATGGCGTGCTGGACAGCGCATGAATTCTGAACTGCACGAGCAAGCCCAAACGGCGAACCCGAAGCTCACGAAACGTCGGGCCGATCCCAAAACGCTTCAAGACCTGGTCGTTACTGAGTGCATGGATCTGTGCTGAACAAGCGAGGCTAGCACCTCTCCAAGCCACTCTACGTTATGCGACCAGGAATGAACCGAGTCTTTTTTACACTGGCCCTCAATCACCAGGAAAGCCACCAAATTCTGAACCCCAGCATTTCGAACACTAAGAAGGACTAACCTCGTATGCCGACATGACATACCAGGAGTAGACCAGAACTTGCCCGTGGAATGCAACGAATTTCTGGTCGCGCTCAGGCGCTCGTTCACCTCTGAAGCCAGGCCGCCTATATGATGAATCCCCCCACCGAAGACCCTCATTGACGGAGTCGCTCCACCTTCAAGAAGCGCGGGCCCTTCGCCCCGCAGGCGGCGATTGACAGCGACGGCGCCAAAGCCAGCGAGACAGACAGTCGCGTCCTGCCGGCTGCGATTCTGCGCCCGCACCCCCAGCGTCATCACATCATCCAGTACCTGATTGGAGTATGTGTTGGCGGCAAAGAGCTCTGCCAAGCCAGCATCGCCTTGCTCGTAAGCGGGGCCGCCACCCACGTGCAGCTTGGCCAAAGCATCGGCAAACTCAAGGGGGATATCCACCACCACGCCAGCGATGGGACGAATAACTGCAAATAACGCTTCAGACGGCAAATCGGCACACGTCACCTCATTCCATTCACAGAGTGGACACTCACAAATTATGCCACAGCTCTCCACAGCCAAGAGGCACCCCATGAATGCTCCACATTGAAGGCGAAGAACGAATTCGCGATCTCTGGCAGGAAGACGAATACTAGCCGACTCGCACCTGTTCCTCCCGAGCTGGCGATCAGCAAAATCCAAACGATTAGAGGTGGCCACTCCGAGAAATCGACGGGAACGCGAAGTTGGGGTCCTTGTTGGACCAAGTAAGGCTGCAACCGCTGAGACGCAAAAGATGGAAAGCAAAGTTGGTCACAAGCACGGCCCCCGCCTTCCACCGACCCCTGCACAGCCCCCAGCCGTTAGGGCCCAGACCGACGGATTGCCGCGACGCATAGGCCCAGACGACTAGGCCCTGCCCAACGGGTCCAGAAGGCGAATGACACGATCCCCCCTGCGCCCAGGGGCGGAGCTCTCGGGCAGGGCAAAAAATCAGGACCTTCGTGTCCACTCTCACGCACCGCAAACCACGCGCGGGGGCCCCCCGCAAGGGCCCGGGCGAGAACTCGACAGCAGAACCCAATCCAGAAGAAGACTCAAGAAAGCCGAAAGACGGGTCCGCGATCACACCCCAGACTTCGGCGGGAACGCACCGGGGCGGACAAGATCTCCGCTTCGGCGCACGTGTTACATACTCGCTGATGCCCAGCAAATCAGCGGCAGCTTCGACGCTGCACGTGCTGAGATACCCTGAGACTCCCTCCGCCAGCTCCTACACCTCGTCAACGATCTCCTTCACCTCCACACCTCCTTGCGGCCCCTCCTTCTCCCACGCCCCCACTTAATCCCGAGCGCAGACTGCTCCCCTAAGGTGGCGGCAGCTTCGGCCACGGGGCCCGCGACCACGGCAGACAAGAGCTCGCATCAAGCGACAAGCTTCCTTCATCTTTTCTTATTGCAAGGCCTCCTCCAACTCCTCCGCAATATTATCTCGCCTTTCCTTTAGATGTACTTTCCGTTGCTGCTGGCGCTGCCTGCTGATCTGTTTGACTGGTCCACCACCTCTTTCTCCTCCAAATCATTAGACACGGCGGCGGCTGCGGCGCTCAGCGCAGGGCGCTGGCCAAGGCGATGGACGACCGCCGAGCACGCGCGACTGCTGGCGCCGCCCAGTGACAGCTCGCGCGGCGACGGCAGCGGCGTCGGCGCGGCGGCGGGCGCGGCGCGGTCCGCGAAGTCGACGGGCCCTGCATCAGACTCTGGGGGGTCCCGCTGCCGCGAGGGGGAGAGGGAGGGAGGGAAGGAGGGAGGGAGGGAGGGAAAGAGGAGAAGAGGAAGGAGGAATGAGGAGGGGA